TTTTTTGCCGAGAATCGGGTATTCCGTTGAAAAGGGCAGGTAGTAATTTACCCGCTCGGTAATGGCGTATAATATCGTTACTGTCCTTACCATCGGGTTCGTTTGCAAGAGTTTAGCGGTCGATGGTTAGTTTATGTATGCACGGAGTATATATTGCTATATGACTGACGTATATATGGAGGGATGCAGGCGACGCAAGACACAAATATATGCGCATTTCAAATCCTCCAAGACGCACGGAGGAGCTAGTCTAGTGTGCACGCAATTAATAGATCGAGGGATTGTGTATGGTCCGAGGCGCACTCCCAGCCTAAATAATAGTTACACGCCGTGTCTCTTCATCCTGCCGGGCCAGATGCAAGTCATGTAATATGTAACGATGGTTAAGTTACATACATACATATGTCCCCCGGGTAGGAGATGGGATGGATTCACCCATTCCCGTCCAATAGTCCATACGTAGTATTGCTTCCCCGCGTTACTAAGGGTTGTTACAGCGAGATGTGCTAGGCCGGCTAGTTTAGTGAGTTATGCAGTGCACCCGAGGCGATCCCCATGCGCTGAGCAAGGCCAGGCCAGGCAGGGTTCAAGCGCCTCCTGCACATGAGAAACATAAGCAGAACCAGTTGCAACTGACTCCGTAGCACTGCACCTTAGGGGGGGGGTTCTAGGCGGACCAAGACAAGACAGGATGCAAAGTCGATCATCCAGAAGGGCCATTATTTCGTTCCTGGCCAGGCAGAGTTGCAAGGACAAGAAAAAGGACGCTCAGGCACTTTTTATCCCTCTCTGTCTCTCTGCCAGAGTGACCAGGCATATCAAGTGCGCTGTACACTGCTACAGTTTATGATGGCATGCATCCGGGATGTTGGTAGGGACCATGTAAAGGCAGTTCGACCGTCAATCGTTTTGCGGTCTTGCCTGGGCTTGCCTCCAGGAGCAAAGGAAAAAGGTACCCGCAGAACACGACTCGGCGCCAACACCTGTGCCCTCCACACCATGTCATGGACATGGGGGGGTTGTGCAGAGCCCAGCATGGTATGGGTGAACATGCCAGTCAAGCAGGCCAGGCAGGGAATGCAGAGAACGCCTCAGACAGGGTCTCCGCCGAGGGGACCGGGGCCACGGGCATAAGTATAGGTAGGAGGATATATATCACTGCACATATAGCTCGGCGAGAGGCAGGAGGAGGATATCATGAGCGAAACTAGGGGGAGACGAGCAGAGTCAAGCCAGAAGGAGACGAGTCAGGTCGGATATTTGATATCTTGTGCGCCGCTGGGCCCCTGAGATGGGCGGTTATTGTTATTTTCCAGTGGTGCACGTCATACCATGGACATCACTGCAACTCAACCGCAAGCCATTGATCGTCTGTAAGGACTTATATCGTATTATTGCATGTAGTATGCAAGTAAAATAAAAGATAATATCAGTTAGAATCGGTATTCTTACCGTAGCGAGTCGATGCTGCATGCGCGCCCTGAAACCAGCACAGCGGTATGCCCACGACGAACCCATCGCCCGCCAGCATCAAGCGAGGCCCAGCAGCGACGAACACATGGGTACCCACCAGCAGCAAACGCAGAATCGAATACATCAGCTTCGTCTTCTTCTTCTCCCGTTTGCCATCCATTATTATTTGCCTGGCTGTGGCGTTTGGACGGAGGTATTCTGCATCTAATACATCTAATACGCCCTGTTACCATTCTTGTATGTGACTTCGCTCCCGCAGAATAAATTACATGCATTGCTCCGACCAGACGAACGTCGTCGACTCCATGGCCGTCGCTGTCGCTACCGACGCACCCCATTCGGAAGATAGACCGAACGAAAGAGGGCGTGGGAGCGAGATTGTTGCTACACTTACACTACCGAGCCTTAGCACTTCGCTAGCCATGCGAGCCAGGCCGATGGGTCGGCTGGACGGAGCAGAGGTTCTCGAAGGGGCAGGTTGAGGGAGAAACAAACGGTGATGGCAAATTTGAAGGGTTTCAGGCTGGAGAAAGCTACGCCGCTGGTCGTTTGGCTTTGGCTCTTCTGGGCTAGAATATCCAGGAACTAGCCGCTGAAGAACAGTGGATGGTGGTTGGGCGTTCCCGGTCCGAGGAGGCCGCTGAGGTCCTTGTGGTTGTGGTTGTGGTTATGCTGGGTGAAGTTATGGCTCTGGCTAACGAGGAATGATTATTGTCATGCGGTGGCCGATCACAGTCACAGTCACACGCACGACCGCGGTACAGATGGAGGGCGGTACAGAGCACTGGCCGAGCTGTGATGATATCCTGTGGTTCTGCAGGCTTTTGAATTATACAGCAGTACAGTAAGTATGCATACTTTGCTTGCTGTTACGGAGTATACTTATTATTATGGGTACTGACAAGACGGGTACCTGAAGTTCAGGCCGGAGAAGACGTCTCCATCAAGTCCAGGACGGGTGCTACATCAGACAGCTACATCGTATACAGCAGAGCAAGGCCCCATAATAATTAACCCTTTACTCGGTGTTGAGCCAACGAACAAACGAACAAGCTCCAACAGTTTCTACGCATCATTGCTTCGAAAGTGCTTACCATACGAAGCGGCCAGAGGGAAAGAGACTTTTACTCTGAAAGACGAGACTGAGTAAGCGGCAGCCAGGAGCAGACGAGGATCTTCGAGGACAAACGTGTGATGGAGGTGGAGTGGAGCCCTCGAGATCCCTGCTCGACCATGGGAGGGAAGAGAAAACCAAAAAATCCACGCCTTGGCTCTGCTTTTAAGCCGTTCGTGGCTGGAGGACGAATGACCTGGGATGCGTGGCAGGTCTGCCGTGGAGCGTGTGCTTGAGTGTGAGCAAACGAGTGCGTTTCCTGTTTGGCTTCTTGTTTCCTGCTAACCTGCTAGAGCAAGCAAGAAGATGGGCCGCCATGCATCTGCCGGGGTTATTGAGAGGGGGACTTGGTTTTGGATTTTTTGGGGGGTCCTTCAACACGAGGGAGGCCTGTCTCTCAAGGGTTCGTCTGGGAGGATGTCGCCCCAGCGGCAAGATCCGTTATTACATAACGACACTCGACTCTGCTTTGAGAGCAAAGAGAGCAAGAAGAAAGATGAGAACGATGACAAGACGGAATAGACCGAGAGAGAAAACGACGCATCGGGTGACTGGAGACAGGACGAAAGAGGATAGTAAAGAGGTGGCTGACGAGGAAAGATAAAGAGGCCGGAGAAACAATATGAGCCAGGCGTGGCTTGTTACTCCAGAGTTACCGGATAGTTCAACATGCTTTTGAGGCTGGTGAGGAAGGGAAAGGAAGCAGAGAGAGGCAGAAGGCAGAGGCAGGAGAAGGCAGCGAGAAATGCGACCTGTCAGGTAGCACGGCCGAGCGATGGGACAAAGAGTCGAGCCCGTCTGCGTCGAATCATCTGCCCGCTCTTCAGAGGCTCCCTCTTTCTTCTGTCTGACAGTGGCACATCCTGATCTTGATCCTCTCTCCCTCGACGCTCGACTCTTGTCTGCATTCTTGATATCTTTCTTCGCTGCATGTCTTTGACCGAGTCTTAGTCTTGGGAGTCTCTGTCATGTATGGTAAGCCTGCTTAGTCAGCAGCATGGCCGGTAGAGCGTGGCTTTTTTGTTCCCGCAGGCGAGCAGGGATAAAGAGAGAAAAACACATAAAAGACAGTGAGTAAAGGAGAGTAAAGGAGTAAAGAGTTGGCTGTTCGCACATGACTCTGGCCGCTCTCTTGTTCTCTTTTATTTTTGACCCTTTACTCTCTACTTTCGACTCTCTTTACTTTCTCTACTTTACTCTATCTTGTTCTTCTCGTATTTTTTCTTCTTTTCTTCACTTTAAGGCTCGGCCACGTGAGCGGGATCTCCTTCCTTTTGCCAAGAAGACTCGTGGCGCCTGCTTAGTCATGTTTTGTTACCGTAAGAGCTTAAAGTTAGGTCAAAGTAAGTAGAGACGACGAAGGACGACAACGACGACGACGAACAACGCCGGGACAGAAGGACAGCAAGACAAGACGAAGTGACGAAGACGATGAGATGCCCAGAGATGATACGACGGCAAGTGAGAGGGTAGACCTACGGTTGAGCATGAGGATGGATGGAGGATGACACTCTGTGCGACTGGCACCAGCTCTGGCCTCTCACCACCGTCACACAAACCAGCACGACTCGTGGCATTCAGCACCTCGCTCTCTTGGTCTCGACGTGGAGGACTCTAGGTGGGAGAGCGGAAGCACACAAGACTGAGTACTCCTCGCTCCAGTCTTCAGGCAGGCCATTCATATTTACAGGTTTTCGGCTCAGGCTCAAGGCTCAAGGCTCAAGGCTTGAGCTCAGACACGCGGCCACGGAGGCTTTTCTCTCATCCTCCTGCTTTTTTCTGGCTCTTGGCCCTCGTTGACCTTGCTTTTTCCTTCGCCAGTGCCAGTCGGGATGCCAATCTCAAAAGAAAAATAAAAAAAAGGGACAAGATGTCGTCCCCGAGAGTGAGAAAGAGAGACACGCTTCAACCTGCCTGTGGACGTGGGTTTAGTGTATTTAAGAAACGTGGCGCTCGCCGATTACGGCAGCGTGATGGGGGGGAGGGACAACACTGGGGAGGGACGCATGGAAAGAAGCAAGCATGCCGCAGCCTGGCGGTGGGTGGAAACTGGAGACCTGGGACCATGCCCTTACTCTTAGTTTGAACTAAGCTAAACTCAGGCCTGATGGGCATGGGAAGCCCTGGTCAGCCCTAAGCAGGGAGTCCAGCCGATGCTTGATGGTGATGGGGGGACTGACGGAGAGATACATACTTGCAACGATGGACAGACAGGTTGACGTTGACTTGGGGATGAGAGACACCGGAGAAAGCCTGAGAGCCTGGTCTGTCTGTCTGTCCCTGCGTTGGCCTGTCGAGGCTGAGCCCAGCTGCATCACACGGAACCACTTGCGGCGGTACCATCGAACAGAGGAAGCTGCTCAATGAAGGCCTCTCAACACTTGTTGATGCCTTGGCAAAGTTGAACTCCCTTATGAAGATAATATACCAGAAGTCAAAACCAGCGGAGTACAACAATTTTAGGACCTTCATGTTTGGAATCACTTCTAACTCCATGTTTCCCGACGGGGTCGTATATGAGGGCTGCAATGACAACAAGCCCATGTTCTTCCGTGGAGAGACCGGTGCTAACGATGCAATGGTGCCACTCATGGACTACTTCCTTCAGATACCCATGCCTGATACACCTCTTACAGTGATTCTCGATGAGTTCTCGGAATACCGTTCTGACAAACACAAGGATTTTCTCAATTTCGTGAAACAGCGTGGACGAGAATTGGATATCAAAGGATTTGCCCTCAATGGAGCCGGTACTGCCGGATCCGAGGATGTTAGAGATGCTCTCCGTGAATCTAGGGGACTATGGCTCCAGATCCTTGATCAGGTGCGTGAGTTCCGTTGGCGTCACTGGAACTTGGTCAAGGAGTATATCCTTAAGCGATCCGATCATCCTACCGCAACAGGAGGTAGCCCAATCGTAACCTGGCTGCCAAACCAGCTGGAAGCAGTCC